TATATATATATATATATATATATATATATATATATATATATATATATATAGAGAGAGAGAGAGAGATAGGTAGATAGATAGATAGATTGATAGAGAGAGCGATTCATGTATATATCTGAATGTATTCGTAACATTAAGATTAATACGTCGTCCCCAACGTTTCAGTGAATAAAAAATACACGAGAGAAGATCTCCTGAACAACGGTAACCACAGTCTTCCCACGCTAGCTCCTAACTCTGCACCTGTCTGGGTGATCATCACCGACGCTATCCAGTCAGTACAGCGAGACAGACCTACAGTACCTCCCGTACCGGGTCAGGAGCCAGAGCCGGGAAAGGTGAGTAGCTCTGTCTCTGTGTGAGTAGCTACGTATGTAAAAAGTACGAGGATAAATTAGTGTTCACTCAATAAGATACTAAGTTAACTAACTTAAGTACTTTTTTTAATGTTTATTTTGTATTTTGTATTTTTGTTAATTTATTAATCAAAGTAATATACTCACTACGTATACTTACACAGTCTGCCACATCTTTGTAAACACGTCGTTTATTTACTGCTTTGTTTGTTATTTATTTATTTATTTTTACGTATTCATGATTGAGAGACATGATTAACGCGTAATCACACAGTCTGCCACATCTTTGTAGACACGTCGTTTATTTATTGCATTTTTTGTTATATATTTATTTTTACGTACGATTGAGAGATAAGATTAACGCGTATGTGGGCTTGTGGAAGTCGAATCACGCGTAATCATAACCTGGGGTTTACTGCGTGTGAAAATGAGGGAATGTATTTATATAGTAATGGTAATTTAACTTATTAATTATTAATATTAACTTATTAACCTAAAATAGTAATTTTAAGTAGTAACATGAAAAAATTTCATTTATTAATAATAATGTTAGTAGTGATTATTGCTTCATCATTTTTCATATACGCCTAGTATCGAACTAGCATCGTGTTACTTCCTGGATCAATTAATTTAAGACGAAGCGAAAACAGCACACGACGTATAAAAAAACCCAACCCCATATAAAAAAAAAACATCCAATAAGTAAAGAAACCAAATCTCGCAAAAAAATCTTCCATAATAGACTGATTATTATCATCTCCGCTCTTCTTTGAGTTTTAGTTAGTTACGAAACAGACCGACATTCGATCCACGCGTTTATTTTTCACCCTTTGCCCCGCCGTAACAACTTCCGGTTGTCGATAATTTAAGATTATGCGAAACGCGTGGCAGCGTTGCGCTCTTTCTCTCTGCTTCGCTTAAAGTTCAGTGTTGGGCAGAGAGAGCGTCGGCTGAAGCAGCAGCAGCAGCAGCAGCACGGCGGGGCGTTCTTTGCAGTTTGTAAGCCGTAAATTTATAAAGAGGTGCGGGTGCTGCGTCTGCTGTTTTGTTAAGTATCCCCCCTCCTCCTCCATCCCCCTTCTTCCCTCTCTCATCCTCCTCCTCTTCGTTATATTTTAAGTCGGTGAATTTATGAAGAGGTGCGGAATTGCGTGCTGCGTGTGCCGTGGTTGTTTTATTTAAGACCCCTCCTCCTCCTCCTCCTCCTCCTTCTCCTCCTCCTTCTTTACCCCTTCTTCCTTCTCTTCTTCCTCCTCTTCGTTAAATGTTAAGTCAGGAAATTTATGAAGAAGACAGAGATCGCGTGTGCTGCGTGGTTGGTTTATTTAAGACCCCCACCCCCTCCTCCTCCATCCCCATTCTTCCTTCTCTCATTCTCCTCCTCTTCGTTATATTTTAAGTCGATAAATTTATGAAGCGGTGCGGGATCGCCTGTTGCGTGGATGGTTGATCGCTTCTCCTTCTCCATCACCATCATCTCACCTTCCTCCTTCCCTTCTCCCCTTCCTCATCCTCCTCCACGTTATATTTTAAGTCGTAATATTTATCAAGAGCTATGCGCGGGATCGCGTGTTACTTGCTTATTTCATTTACGATACCCTGCTCCTCTTTCATCCCCTTCTTCCTTCTCTTATCCTCCTCCGCGTTCTATTTTCACGTCCGGTCAAACTTTATAACGAGCGTACTCGCCTGTGCTGGTTGTTTTTCATTCACACAACTCACCTCTCTTCCTTACTTCCTCATCCTCCCCCTCGCGTTCATATTATAAGTCGGTAATTTCCATCGAAGAAGTGGCCGTGCTGCTATGGTTGTTTATTTCACACCAACCATTCCTCTCCCCTTATTCTCATCTTCGCCTCGACTTATACTTTTAAGCTCGGCTAATTTTGAAGAAGTGCTGCGTGTGCCCCTTGGTTGTTTATCTCTAACACACACACCCTCTCTTCCTTACTCTCCTCCATCCCCTCTCGGCGTTATATTTTAAACCGTGGTTAAATTTAGAAAGTGCTTCCGCGTCGCCTGCCGTCTGGTTTTATTAACACCCAACACCTCTCTCCTTACTTCTCAATTCTCCTCGACCGTTATTTAGTCGGTCAATCTATCGAAGGTACTGCCGGGTGCCTGGTTGTTTTATTCTACAAACACTCTCGCTCCTTACCTTTCCTCATTCTCCTCGACGTTTATATTTTAAGTCGTAAATATATGAAGACGCGTTGCTGCGTGTGCCCCTTCGGTTGTTTTATTTAACACCCACCACCTCTCTTCCCTTACTTCCTCATCCTCTTCCGTGTTATATTTTAAGTCGGGAAGTTTAAAATAAACTCCGGGAGCCGCCGTGGAAGATTAGTTCTCGTGCACGCCGCGTCCATATATGCGCATACAAAATATTTTCGGCTGCTGCTTACTTTTGCTTGCTGCTCAGAATAGTGTTGGCTAAATATCAGCAAACGTTTTCGAAAGCAACCTGTATACTTACAGGCAGTACTACTGTGTACGTACGTACACACGCACTCGAGAGACTGCCGGCAAAAACTCTCTCTCTCGTCACACGATGACTTAACGTCTAAATATACGTAGAATATAGCGATGTGCATCCGGCACGTCGCCAGGCTGCTGGCCTGGAAGCTGGGGCTTCAACACCTTTTCCGGATTTTTCTGAAAATAAATGATAGAATTAAACAATTGCAATGTATACTTTTTACTGTGTTTCAAATGTTAAAATTTTATTTTAAAACTCGCCAGCGTACACCATATTCCATGTAGCATTACATTTTTTGGTGGGAGGCCCCCTGGACCCCCACCAGGAGAGGGGAAACCCTCTCACACACTCTCCCCCTTTACGGCGCTTCGAGCCTTCGTGACTGGGCTTCAACATTAATCCCTGGCGACGCCCTGGCATGCTAGATTTTGCATCTGGTTAGGTTTTCTATAGTTGCTCCGAGCAAGAGTTGCAGTTGTTTTTAGCATGAACTTCTATTAGTAATTAAAATGATTGATGTAATTATAAGTTAGTGTTGAATCATTATATACTTGCATGATGCATCCGTTCGCGTTTGGCTCGTAGCATTCGTTCAAAGAAAAAAAAAACACGAAAACTTACCTCTAACGAATTTAGATGACGATGCTTGTTGTCAGAAAATTCAATTAATTAATACTTCATATATAATTTTGAGCAAATCGGGACGTATCAAAGTTAATCGCGCTGCCTAACTCAATAAAATTGGGGAATAAATGGATCTATTGCTCTGAGAAAACACGTAGTTTCGATTTGAATTGTCTTTTTAAGAAATTTTCTAATGTACAGCGAAGTTTTGGCGTTTTTCCGTGCCAGGTTCGAATAACCACAATTTAATGTTCATGCGGGTTTGCGGGGCCCGACAGGGATCTGCAGCCTTGTTCGCTTCCGAGCTCACTGCTGCCACTGCTGCCAGGACGTAATAATCTATAAATAACGTCTCAATGACGAGCGTCGAAACTTAAGGGTAAATATAAGGATAAGAGGCGTCTACCTAGCTCAGATTCGTGAATGTCTTCAGTAGCATCAGTACACCCTCTCCCATTTTCTGGAAGATATATATTTAGCTACCCGACAAAATATGTCATTTGACCTCCATCACCATGTGAGAGTTATATTTAAGTACCCGACATAATTTGATATTTAACTACAATTACATCACATTATAATCATATATATTACATTTATACATCACATGTGGGAGTCTGGAATGGTCGCAATTTGTATGGAACATTGTACATAGTCATGTACTTTTGATTGTCATATTACAATGATCTGCTATTCAGTACGAATATAATATGTGATTGACTGACATACAAAAGCGAAGGTCTCTGGACCAATCAATACCGGGCAAAGTTAACTAACCCCCTAAGTAAACTAGCACATTATTCTCGGCTATACTTATACATACATACACGTGTATGTGTGTGTGTGTGTGTGTGTCTGGGGTAGGTCCGTTGTTCCTACAGCTACAAGCAAAAATATCTCGGCAGGGCTGGCGTATATACGTAAATGAGTCGATCCCCCATCGTAGGCGTGCAGCTTCGGTAAACTCCTCAGCAAGTTCCTAACGAAGCTAGCAGAGGAGCGGGTTCAGTGGTCCTGCTGCTGCTGCTGCTGCTGCAAACACTGCGGGGTGCTTGCAGTAGTGGTTATGATGAACGTGTGAAACTAGATACACCTGCAAGTGTTAATCAATGCTGAGAAAACTAAGTCATTGTAACCGTCTTTATTGGTACTTATTCTATAGTTATTATATTACTATACTTATTACTATATAATTAATGATATCATATATACTTATACTAGAGTCCAAATACACCTGCGAGTTATACTAGTATTAACTAATGCTGAGTATAAACGTTACCATTAGCGTATGAAACAAGATAGACATGCAAGCATGTACTCAATGCCGAGTAACACTAAGACATTGTAGGCATAATCATATTAGTGCTACTAAACCAGGTACGGCCACGCACACACTAATCTCAATCAATGCTGAGGGAAATGAGGATGCTTGCAGTATGAGTTATTATTGGCGTGTTGAACCAGATACACCTACAAGCAGATACAAGTCTTAATCAATGCTAAAGAAACTAAGTCTGTGCACGCGCTATGATTTGTGCTAGAAACAATGGAGATACACCTGAAAACATAATATAGTATAGTGTTAATTAATGCTGTGGGAAATATGTAAATGAGGATGCTTGTTGTAGGGGTTATTATTGGCGTTTTAAACCAGATACACATGCACGCAGATGCTAGTTTTTATCAATGCTGAGAAAAGTCCTTTGCAATAGCGCATTGTAATGTATCGTGTGCAATACTGGGAAAAGTTCATCCATGTACTTGTGCTGCACCTGCACGCTTATTATGTCTACAAACTATTGCTGATAAAAAAAGTCCTGGTGGGTCTTTGCATCTTTGGTATATGAAATCAGATACATACCCGGGTGTTAATGCATACTGAGAAAAAGAAAAGAAAATAGATAAACACATATGCACACTCGCACGCGCACGCACACGCACACGCACACGCACACGCACACGCACACGCACACGCACGCGCACGCGCACGCGCACGCGCACGCGC